TTTTTTTTTTTCGTTTTTTCTTCGGTCACAACTTAATCTTATACAACATTTCATTGACTACAAAGGCCATTTCTGTGAAACTAAACTAAAGCCAATAACAAGTATATATATCTTTCTCACGTCTGCGTAGTACTACTATTCGTAGGTGAACCTTCGAAACGTATATAATCGTATAAGATCCCTCTCCAAGGGATAGACGCTCTCGATTGAGTCAAAAATATAGTGTTTGTCGAACCCATAACAAGTAGAGAAGCCGGTACATTGACACTATATAGCCAGTGAAGTCCATGAATTCCATGCCGTGCAATTGCATTGTCCTTCCCTATCAAACCCGTGCTAAAATGTGGCCTTTTCGCAAGCCCATCATTTATCCGAACCTAATACATACGAAAAAACACAAATATGCCATCAATGTACTTGCAATTTTGCAACAATATAGACCAAAATATATAACTAATCAAATCGTACTTATTGTTATATGGTTTTTACCAGTAATTCAGCATCAGTAGCCGATGCCAATGCAAGTCTAAGGGTGTAATCGGCCGATACGTTTTCGACTTCTGTGAGGTTGAACATAATCGTCCAGGTTGTTGGTACGTATGTTTTGTCGACTTTCCTATATATATAGAGTCATAAAACAAGTGCTACATATTTAAATTTCAATATATATGTGGATAAAACATTTTTATTGAAGTGTGAGTGTACCTGTTGACATGAGCAAAATACCAATCTGTCTGGTAATTGCATGTTTCTACTGTGTACACTAAATCTCCATCTGAGTATAATTCTGTGTACCTGTCCCACAATCCATACTGTCTGAACCTACTGAGTTTCAGACAAGATTAATTAGGAAAGAACTAACATTACGTAGACGAACTTTTAGCATCGATCAAATATACCTTAGTCGTAAAATGTAGTTGAGAAAAATATTATAATTGTCAATGTTTCATCATGTCGTGTACGTTTTAACACTTACTTATCGGCCTGAGTACGATACAACTGGTTCATGAGCTGTGGGTTTGGATCGGGCACGAAAAACTCAGCAGCCGTACGATCAGGGATGCCGATTTCCCACAAGGTAGGTCCATTTCTCGGAGGTTCAAATACGATATTTCCGAGCTTAATTTCGCCTCCTAACAACAAAATTAACACCATCTCTATTTTCAATATACATGCATTGTATATATAGAAAATCATTCTGAATTAGATGTCGTAAAATGTTTGCTATTAACCTGGTAGCACATCGATTACATATTCGTACATGTAATCGCCAATAAATCCAGGGACCCAACCATAGAGACAATACTTGCCAGGTCGAATGCCGGTGATGATAAAGTACCCCAAATCATCCGACCGAGTCCAAAACTGATAGCCCTGGAGAAAAGTAAACTAAATTACATTTTTTTTTTTTTCCTTTAAGTTTATCAAATAAATTAATGACAAACCTTGTTTTCTCTTTGCCATGATCCGTGTGTGCCTGGTGGAGCCAACCCGACATAAGCCGAGTTTGCAGTCATCAGATGGTCATTGATGTAACTGAAAGGCCAATATTAAGGTTACATATTTTCCAACATATAGTTTTCAAGTGTGAACAAGTTGGAAATTAATACCTATCGCGAACAAGTAATCGTCCACTCACTACACCACGCTGATCGGTAAAAAGAAAATCATCCGAGGCTGGGAATTCATAAGGCCAGCTCTCGGTTTCTATGAGCATCTGAAAAAATGAAGCATCATAGAAAAGACGGTGAAAAATTGAAATAAATTGGATATTCTTGAAATTAATTTTAAAAAAAAAATGGTGCTAGTAGTACCTGTTCCTTTGCGTCGGCCCACAGCGTAAGGGGATCTTCACCGGTGTCGACCGAGTTAAGGTAGATGAAAACGGGTCCAAAGACTTTTTTCCAAGGTTCACCTTCTTCAAATGTTATTACCAGAGGCAGTCCGGCATAATGAGTGCTAAAAAACATCTGCACAGAAAATAACATTTCAAGTATTAAATTATTCGATTACGTTTTGTGTGCGAATAAGAGTTTGATCAATCAAGACGCGATTTAATAGGATATAATTACATACTGATAAGGAAATCGGGCCGGCATGTGAGGTGAGGTCTTGTTTGACGGGCCCGGCTGTCTTAAATTCATTGCTTGGAGTGATTACCCAAAACCCGGTGGGAGGGTCCATTGCTATCCATCCATGCACACGACTATCCTTGTTATCGCTCGAGTATTGATACTTGTCATCAACCTACATTACAATAGTTAAGCAATATTTAGAATATTTGACACTCATTTTATTACCTCTCACATAGTGTGTAGCTTAATCGAGTCGAATTAAAGCTGTCATGAAAAAAATATCAACTTTTATTACCTCTCCTCTGAGAAAAGAATTGGCTGGATTTGTAAGAAGAACAGCTTCCGGATAGTCGAGCACCTGACCACTCTCGCGATCTTCAGTTGTAGGCATTATCCTTTGTCTGTCGTCAGACACTGCCATGTATTCAAACCTTACAACAATGCAAGGAAAACCATTTTTTAAGAAAAAAGGAAACAAAATGAAGTATAGTACGTAAAACTAATTTGCTAATTGATAACATATTTAAGATTATTATTGGGAAACAAACAAGCCGAAAGGGGCAAGTCTTACAGATCGTGCTGAAGTTTGAACACGATGCGTCCTTGAGAAAGGTTAACATCAGGCCAACCTTCCAAGCGCTCGAGAATCGCGTACGAGTAAAATCCAGAGTCGCCACGCAACATTATGTACCTTATACAAATCGAAAAATTATATAATATTATTTCTATTTTCATTCATAGGAAAAAAAAAAAAAAAAAAGTGAAGCAAAATTAAAATGTACCTTTTGTCGATATTCAGGGGCAACCCTGTTTCTGAAGTATTACTCCATTCTCTCCAGAATGAGATCTCAACTTGATCGTCATCTTGTTTTACAACATTCATACTTGTTCCATCGAGCCTAATATATGATCATAACATGATATTATTATTATTACTATTATTAAATCATATGCAAAATGCGCTCGCAAATGCCACCATGTCGGATTAACATTTTGCGTTTTTATAACAAGAATATCTATCATCGTCGCGGAAAAAAAAGACTCGAGGAGTGTTAGATTCAAACTTACTTGTCGATAGTGTCCTGGAGATGGCTTCTTTTGTTCCAATAAATGTCCCAATACCTACATTAGTTTTTTGTTTTACAATGGTTAAGTACATAATAAAGTCACCTGTTAAGATAAAGTTACGACGACATTGCGCGTGGTAATTAAAAGAATTTACCCTCGGTTATCTCGAGTGTACGTTTTTTCCAGTAAATTGTCGATACCATTGTACTTGATTCCGACGATCATTCCATCAGGGGTCGAGAAAGTCACTCTGACTATGCCGTTATCAAGAACCACCTAACAATGCAGTTGAATTTCGATGAGATGGCAAGTCTTTCAGTTCATAATGGGTGAATTTTACACAGGGAAAATGGTATATACATATAAACATTTTAAAAAAAAAAACAATAATAGTTAAAAATGAGGCCTTTACATGGTGTTCCAATACATGCAACTGAACTGGAGGGCATTCTATCTCATTATCACTATTCTGCTTGTGAACACTTCTGCACTTGAAATAAATACAAGATTTTAAGCAAAAGATACATAACAATTTCATATTAATTTGTGCAATGCATATCAAAAGTATGGTTAAATTTTCCATTTTTTTTTTTTTTTTTTTTTCCAAATTAGCGATATAATCTACACCCTTACACAGTTGACTAAACCAAGTTACATGGAGATTCTACGGTCCCGTTATGGAATCATTCTGTCGGGATTTGTAACCGTTAGATTAACTATCCACGACTCTTACATGATGATCTAACCGTTACAAATTCCGAAAGAATGATTCCGTAACAGGGCTACAACATTTCCCGATATAATTTATAGGACAAAAAGGCAAGTGATGATGAGTAACAAGTTCCAACAAACTTGATGCATCAATTATTTTTTTCAAAAGTCACGGGTCAATATTATCACCAAGACTTACTACAAAATGTGGTTGTGCACCGGTGCTTAAGATTATTATTAACAAACCCCCCCAAAAAAAAAGTAACCCATCAATAGAGAAGGAAAAATTTAGACATAACGACAAATAAAAAAAAAAAAAAATTAGACATAAGAAAAGTGTTAATAATACAAAATCATCAATAATTTTTCAGTTAGCACAATTTCGTAAGTGTTTAAATAAATTTGTTTAAAAAAAGACCACAAATTTACCTGAAAGTAGCTACCATAACACCTTTACGGAAAATGCTATAGTCCCGTTACGGAACCACTCCGTTGGGATTTATAACCGTTGGATCATCACGTAATCATCATGGATAGTTGATCTAACGGTTATAAATCCCGACAAAATAGTTCCTCAACGGGGGACGGTAGAATCTCCCCACATTTACATGTGGGAAAGTGATTAATTTGACCGAAAAAAAAACAAAAGAATGAAATTTGTTCAACTATTTTACTCATAAAATTTTGTTGGGAGATAGTGATAATAATCACGGGAGTGTGCAACTGTGGGGGCATCAACCTCTTTTTTCTTGCCACATATACTATGCTTCTCATTACACTGTTTTTCATATGTATGTGTGTGTGTGTGTGTGTGTGGGTACATCTAGAAAGAGTGATGTCTACATATATAGGTAAAACTTTTTTCATCTTTTTAGGAATTTAATTTAATTAAAATAAAAATAAAAATAGCTACTCCATATGATAATAAAGAGGACAAAATTCTTGAAAACATACAAAACCTGTATTGGGAACAACACAGTTACATGGGATTTTGGACTATACCAAGCCCTTTTTGGCTTCTTTTCTTTGTTTTATTCACCTATAAACTTTATTATTACTTCATAAAGCTATATTGATGGGGATTTTGATGAAGGACTAAGGAGGGTGAAAAATTAAACTCATAATTTTATTTTTCTAAATTAATCCAAAAATAAAAAAAAAATAATAAAAAAAAAATACAAGTGTAGTCCACACACATATGCCATGTGGAAGTGATTATATTTTCATGCAAGGAACATTAAGAAATATAAATAAATTAATAAACAAAAAAAAAAAAATTGAAGGACCACACTTAACTGCTTTCTTGGCACTGCTTCACATTGAGCAGCAAGTAAGGAAATGAAGTGTAGAAGAATGGCCACCCTCCCCAAATGCCAACACAAATATTTCAATCTCTTCATATTCTACCAAAGATAATCTAAAAACCTGTTTATTTCACAATGAAACTTCTTCAAATGTATATATATATGTGTGTGTGTGTGTGTGTGTGTGTGTGTGTGTGTGTGTGTGTGTGTGTGTGTGTGTTGTAAGAATAAGTACATCAAGAAAACACATTACTAGTATGTGTTAAAAACTTTATTACCTCTGCAGGAACAACAAAAGCTGGCAAAATGACTGTCTAAGTTCTTGCAATAAAAATGATTAATTAATGGGGGCTAATTGAGTTATATTGGTGATTTGGATTTGGTGAGAGAGGTACAATGAAGGAAGGCCAAGAGTTTAACTTTGTGGGCACTTTTGTGGAGAATTTGAAAGTTTTTGGGCCAAAAGTTAATAATGGGGAATTGGTTATAAAATGCTCATCAAGTAGTCTAAGGCCACCCACTTTTATGATCTCTTCAAAATGGCCAATGCCTATATATAATGAGAGGAGCAAATATACCTTTCTTGAATAACAATGCATCAACATACATTCATTAGCTTTGTTGAAAAAAATTACTACAATGCCCCAATTAATTCCTTAAAACAACTTTTTGCTTTTTTTTTTTTAAATGTTAACTAGTACAATACCCATGTACGACATGAGTGTTGAGTTAAAAATATATGATAAAAGTTATTTATGTCTAATATCAAACCTAACTCAGAGCAATAATAAAATAAAAATAACATCACGAAGCATAGATTTTCGCCATGTCAGAATTCGAAGCGTGAGAATCTGCCACCTAGGCTCAACACGTTTTGAATTAATATATAAGGAGGGAGGGAGGAAGGGATTTATTGTTCTTTGGGTCCCCCAACAATGTTTCTTGGTTGCCATTTTCTTTTTTTTTTT